CGCGGCGCGAGCCGCACGCGCGACAATCCGACCAATCGCGCGTCTCTCCGCCTCCCGGGAGGCTGCAGCCCCGCCCCCGAGGCTGGGTAGTTTACATCCTGGGAGGCGCGCGCTTTTTGAGCGTTTGAGAGGCGGCGTCATTCTCAGGCTCGGGAGGCTACCGGGAGGCGCTGGACGTCGCGGGTCTGTGGGGTACTCTGACCCGCCTCAGGCCTGCGGTCTCTGCATGGCTGTGGGCTTTCTGCAATGGCGGGAAGGCGGGCGGGCTTGTGTCAGGTTTTACCTCGCTCAAAATTGGTGCGTTTGTCCGAGGGAGCAACCTGGGCGCGTCTGCTTTTCCGTGTCTTGTGTCTTAAAGTACAACAGCCAGATTGGGCGAAAAGTTTCTCATACCTCAGACCTGGCGGGTAACAAGGCCTGGTCCCCGCGCTTTTAGGGTTCAGGATGCTGGACAGTCGCCTGATTAGTGAGGATTTCGGCCTCAGACTAGTGACAAAATGAGTTCCTGACTAGATAAAGTGGTTCTTCCCGAACTTTCTCGCGGTAATGGAGATTCTGGTGATACTTTAGAAATGAAAACAAAATGGCCTCAGGTACTATCTGGTTAATTAACTCTCATCAGAAGATGCTGGCTTACAGAGGATGTGTGGCACAGTAATGAAAACTTCTTTGGTAAAACATTGAGGACTGTAGATGTATGGCTAATTTGATTTGTATTTTGTAATTTTTCTTTTTTAGAAGTAAACCAAGATTTCATTTGCAGTATGGAAAGCCCATCAGGCTCGGCTGTGATTTTACCTAGCACTCCACAGGCCTGTGCGAATCCTCCAACTCCCCATATAAATTGTTCTCGGAAAGCGGTATGACAGCCTCAGTTCTTTTGGTGGATCCATTCTGTGTATCTAAATTCTGTGGCAGTGGTGGTTTTCAGTCTAGTAAGGAGTTAATTAACATAATGCATAACACCTCTCTCCTTATCCCCCCCACCTTCCCAGGAGGTTTTCATCTTGAATCAATTGCTTTTAGTTTCAACTCAAGGTATTACAATAATCCAAACTGAGAAGTCTGGATCCTTAATGAGTTGGTGGCAGTAGGTCTTATCCTCAGTCTGCAAATCGGAAGCACCTAGAGTAGTGTCAGTCACATGCTGGTTGTTAAACAAATGCCCATTGGTTAAGTGCACTGTTTAGAAGGGTGTTGACATTGCTAAGAGAATGAAACAGTTGGAGTGTGTGGAAACTAAAGACGTCCTGTTACACTTATTTTAGATATATGGGGATAGAAAGTCATCCAGTAGTACCTGCCATAGAAATGTAAGGCCTTTATTTCTAGTAGATTTATTTACATCAACAATTTTTTTTTCTTAATGTTTTTAATATTTTGTATCCTTTCCAGCCCATGAGTGCAACACTTAAAGAAAGATTAAGGAAAACAAGATTTTCATTTAATTCCTGTTGCAGGGTAGTAAAACGTCTTAAAATAGAGGATGAAGAAAATGATAAGACCTTTTCAGAGAAACCAGCATCTTCAACAGAAGAAAACTGCTTAGAATTTCAAGAAAGTTTTAAACATATAGATAGTGAATCTGAAGAAAATACATACTTGAAAAATACTCTCAAAAATGTCAGTGCATGTGAATCTAATTCACTTGATAGTATGTCATACAGTGCTCTTCAAAATGATTCTGTGAATGAGAATCCTGAACAAGGGTTAAAGGAAGAAAGAGCAGAATTGTTGAAGCAGGTGCAGGAGAAGGAAGAACTACTTCGGAGGCTAAAACTAGTCAAAATGTATAGATCAAAGGTGAGAATTTCAGAACCGTTCCATATTTTAAAATCTTACATAAATTGCAGGGAAGTAATTTCAAAAATAGGAAGTAAATTTCTTTTAGCATAATAAAACAATAAGCCAACCATCCAAAAACCTGTTTCCAACTTTAACTGAAATGTAAGCTAATTAGAGGAGACCTGACAATACCAGGTAAAACTTTTTAAAGTCTAAGCTTTTATATAACATGCAGTTGAAGCTTTTCTCGTTTCCAGCCCATAGCAACAGAAGTATCAACTGTTAGATATAAATACAGTGGGAATAGAAGTGGCAGCTGATGAGTACAACTTTTAAAAACGGCCACAGAGTACAGTAAAAATATTTTTAACAGTGAACTTGTGATCTTAATAATTAAAATGTCTTAGGCATTTTGTTTGAGAAAACAACAAATATATATTAGATTTTAGATTTCAACCCAAATCAGTAGAACTTGGGTGTCTGGGAGGAGAGATAACCTCTTTTCTAAATAATTCATGCCTATGTAATTGTGGAATAAATGATGGAGTAGCATATCTGTTGTATGCTTGAGTTTTTAGGGTTTATGAGATTGATGTTGTATTTCTAGTTTCAATACTGTCATCTTGTAGAGCAGTTTTAGGCCCACAGCAAAACTGAATGGCAGGTACAATGTAGTGTCATTTTAGAAGCATAACTGTATGGAAACTGGATTTTAAAAACCTTATTGCTTCTTTACCTAATTTTGCTGTAATGATTTGAATTTTCTCTTGAGAATAAGTTTGTCCCAGAGTTTGAACTAAACAGAATGGTAGTAGAGCTCAAGTTGAGTGACATAACCTTTCTATGTTTACTCATCCTACTTTTTTATAGGTAGAAGTTCCATTCATTCCCAGGAATGTTAGCCTTTAAACCTACACAAACTGATTTGACAGCTTTGATTAAGTAGCACGACTGTCTTGCTATTGACTTACATCTTTTTTTTTTGGTCTGTTTCAGAATGACCTTTCACAGTTACAGCTGTTGATAAAGAAGTGGAGAAGTTGTAGCCAGCTGTTGCTTTATGAGTTGCAATCAGCTATGTCTGAAGAAAACAAAAAACTAAGCCTTACTCAGTTGATAGACCACTATGGGTTAGATGATAAATTGTTACGCTATAACAGAAGTGAAGAGGAGTTTATAGATGTTTAATTACTTTTTTTTTTTTTCTTTTTTTCAGTACTGGGAGATCAAACCTAGGCCCTCAGGTGCACTCTTAACCATTGAGCCATACCCCTGGCTCCTTTTCAGTAAATCTTTGAGAATGACAACTTAATGAAAAGACACTTAAGACATTTTAAGGGGAAGATGTTGGCGATTAGGGTAGTGGTGGTGAGCCTATGGCATGTGTGCCATAGAGGGCTGTTTGTATCCTTCCAAGCTCTAAAAGGTTTGCCATCTCAGCATTGGGTGTCTTGACCATCAATTTAGGGTACTCTAAGACATAAATTCAGTCCTAAAATGAAATACAGTATTTTGAATGGATTTAACAGAGAATTTGACATTTTAAAGAAATGTTAAAAGCTGGGTTTGGTGGCACTTGCCTGTCCATAATCCAGGCATCCTGGGAGGCTGAGACAGAAGAATGAAAAGTTTGAGCCCAGCTTGGCAGCTTAGCAAGACCCTGCCCTTAGACCAAAAAAGAGGGCCGGGGTGTAGCTCAGTGCAAAGGCCCTGGGTTCAGTCCCCAAATGAATGAGTAGGTGAGGGATGTAGTTCTGTATGAAGGTGCCAGTGTTCATGTGCACGCACACACCAAGTTAAACCATGCTTAAAAAGTAATTTGAACAGGCCTGGGAATCAGTTTTCATATGTTGTTTTGCTTTTTGGACAAAAAGTCTTATGTTCAGGGAGGGAAGGGGTATGGGGAAAAAATGAGAACCAAGACCTGTCACGTAAGGGTACAAGATCCCAATGATAAATGTAACTACTGTATAAAAGTACCAGTGAACGCAGTGAGGAAAAAAAGTCTTAATGTTCTGTGTTAGTCCAATCTGGTGAATGTCTAAACCTAAACTGGTCTAAAAGTTCTTACCTGTCTCCTGAGTTTGTAAACCTGGTTCGTTACATCTTGTCATGTGCTAATCTCAGCTAATTAAACTTAGGTCCAAAGTGATACTCTTCTGCCTTCATATTTTATACATTCCTCATTTAATGAAACAGCTGTCCGTTTCTTAGGAAATGACCTCATTTTCTACATTAAGATATTCTGGCGTACAAGGTCCTTCACATTCATCCTTTCTAGCTTCATCTGTCAAATAAACAGGGAGTGTTCAGTTCACAGTGACTCCTCAGCCGGAAACCAACCTCTTGTCAAGTTACATATCGTATCTGTCATCTTGGCTGTCTACGGGGACCCAAGTGGCCTAGTCCTTGAGAATTAAGACTTGGACTCTGGGAGAGAAAGCCCATTGTGTTTGGCTGGAGCTGTTAAACGTAAACTGGAAGCCAGAGATGGCTTCCCTAAGAAAGACTATGTGATAGATGGGGAGAGCACTTTATGGGTCAGTGGTTTTACAGCCACTACTTTTACCAGGCATAACTTAATTTAAGTACAGTCCCTTCTATTGATAAAGCCTTGAATTTTTGGTACAGCAGGAAACCCCAGGGCCACGGACTTGGGTCCATTCACCACACACACACACACATTCTAGTTTCTAGACACTGCCCTTGCCATTGGCATTTGTGAATCTGGGATTCCAAAATGGACACCCCTGGGTGCTGTACTATTCTGGTGCCTATCAGCCAGTTTCTGTCACTGCTGTCCAGCCAGGGGGCAAAAATGTGGCAGGGAAATTGTTGCCCCTGGTGGTGGTAGTGGCATTCTGGTAGTCAGTGTGGGGTGTCTTTAGATTTTGGGGTCTACAGCTGCCACTTCTGACAGCTGGAGGCAGTACTCTGGAGACACCCCTAGGTATCCACTTGTGGGATCTGGGAAAGCTGGGACATGGACCTTCCAGGCACAGGCCCCTGGGCCTGCCTGAGAATTTCAGGAACACAGCAGGTACCTGAGAAACAGGAGGTGGGTCACGGAGGATGAATGGGGATTATGGGGCAGTTTCAGATTTGAGGATACCTGTGGGTAGCCATCTTTTACCATTTCTGTTGAGTTTCACTTCCACTTAATGGGATACAATTATTGAAAATTACCAAATATTAGAGCTAACCTTTAACAAAATATTTTCTTTGTACCAAGTTTAAGAGGATAATCGAGTATTAGCACCTTAGGTTTAAAGATAAGAAAATTCAAGATTAATAGTTAAAAACGAAGTGCTTATTTCAAACCAGAGCCAGGATTTGAACCCAGGCAGTCCAGCAACAGAGCTCATACTCTTTATTCCTATGTATATGTTATATGACTATGTATATGTTATATGACTCAGTTTGTATCACTAGTTGATACCAGGTAAGGTTTTAAAGGACTAAATATGGGAACACAACTGCTGTTGAGTAGAAGCTTAGAGGAATCTATCGTGAACAATACTGACAGAAGACTTGAGGTCCAAGGCCTGTGTGTCCTACCGAAGCACCTGCCAGCTCTGCAAAGCAGAAGGTACGTCCTGTTGAAAAGGCTTCTCAGCATGAGGGTGAAAGGGTTCTGCTCACCCACTCCATTCCTCAAAACTGAGGCAGCCAAGCAAGAAACATTGTCGGAGTCAACCAGGGTTTGTGATGAAGAAACAAACAAAATAGGATGTTTGGTTGTTAAGACCCGGGAATCCACAGTGAAAACTACGGCATCAGCTATAGCAAATGGAGTGTCAGTGGGCACCTTAGGTGGTAGGGCACTTCAGTTACGGAGCGGGAGGGAGACACCACGGTTGATAGAACTAGCAGGTCTGCCTCCCTGCTCCCCACAGTTCCTGTCCACAGGTAATGTTAAGGGACCCTAGATGTAGGAAATAGTGTTAGTGGACACTGCCTTACTGAGTCAGCCAGCTATTTCAGAAGTCATTCTAGTCCTAAGGAGGGGAGCCACCAAAAGGATGGTCTCGACACTGACCCATCCACCCCTGATCACTATGAGGGTGAGCAGGGGGACCTGGAGGGTCTTTTTCTAAATGGAGTTGATACAGCTCTCTTGCTTTACCTGTGCCCGTGTATACTGGATGTGGTACTGTGGGTCAAACTTAACATTTTCTTTATAAATTGCAGAACCATGAGGGTTTGCATCACTAGAGATAGGTTCATTGATCCCAATGTTAGCACCTTACAGTGCAGCAGGCTCAGGAAGTTTTCTGCCAATTACTTTTCTCATTGTATAGTTATTATCAACAATAATAATAATGCATGGAAATAATAAGGCACTTTTTTTTCCTCAACTGTTGGGCAGGGCACAAAATTGAGCTCTATCACAGTAAGAAATAATTATGCTTTCAAAATATGTCATAATTGGGCCAGGAATTTAGCTCAGCGGTTTGGTGGCCTGCCTTGCAAGCGCAAGGACCTGAGTTCAATCCCCGGTACAAAGAAAAAAAGTCATAACTGACAAGTGATGTAAGTTTTGGGAAAAGTAAATACCTTGTTCTGATTGATAGAACAAGGATTAACCTTCAAATTCTGGTTATTTTAAATGAATGAATGAAATCTTGAGCCAGGCAATGTGGTACATGCCTGTAATCTCAGCACACACTCTGGGAGGCTGAGTCAGGAGGACTGCAAGTCTGAGCCAAGCCTGGCCAAATGAGTTGACTTAGTGAGACCCTGTCTCAAAATAAGAAGGGGCTGGGGCATAGCTCTGTGGGAGAATCAGTCCTGTGGTCAATTTCCAGTACTGCCAATAAGTAAGTAGAACACTTTTCTCTTTTTTCTAGATTGGGGATTGAACTCGGAGCCTTGTACATTAGGCAAGTGCTCTCCTCTGAGCCTGGCATTGAAAACTTTCTTTCCATCTTAAAATCTTGTTCTTTCTTGAATGAAAATAGTTCTTTTACACACTTATGCAGGACAAAAATTTATACACTGATTACAAGGCTAAAATTAAACAAATTACTATTAGAAACATGCAACTAAAAGGTGACTTTACTAAATTTCACAATATAAAAGAAAGAGAAAGGAATCATTTTACCCAAATGGAACGATTTTTGAAATGACTAAGGCTAGGCCTTTGATTCCTGCTAGTGTTTCACAGTTTAACAAGAGCAGGGAATGTTTTCATCCTTAATCTTTCAACTTCAGCCTGAAGAACTGAGATCTCTTCAGCTTGTTCTTTTGAAATATTTGTCAGCTTTTGTTGTTTCCTCATACTTTTGTATCGTTCTTTGGCAATCTTTTCACAAGTCAGCGTAGACCCTATCCCAATATCCAAGATGAAGGAATTAGTTGGATTATTACCGACACTTTTAAATCCAAAAGCAGCACCCAGAAGTGACTATGTGGAAGAAATGCTCTCAGGTGTATAACTAGTGTGCAGATTTCAGAAACACCAATTACTCTTAACGAACTGCACAGTTAGTTGGATGAAGAGAAAGGCTTACCTATTGCATTGCAGATGTCTTGCCTCTCTGAGACAGCTACCAACTCTTCTCGTAGATTGCAGCTTAGAGTATAATTTGCTGCATCTTTTTGATTGCTGAACTTTCCCAGTTTTTTGAGTAGTTTTTTGCAGTTATTGACATTCTTTTTGTGGGTCTGAAAATTTTGTGCCCATGAAACCCCACAAAATAATATTTTAAAAATGTAATTTATAAAGACATATTCTTATATTTGAAATACATGTCCATCACTAAGACAACATTGTCTCCCTAGTTCCTGCCATATGGTCTGTCCACAGTAGATAAAACAGTACGTTAATACATTCTAGAAAAAAATTTGTATATTCTTAAAAATTAGGGAATTTTTTAAAGCTTGAGATTACTTTGTTTCCATCTTACATACACCTTATAATAAAAACTGAGCATTTGCTATGCAGTTAAGACAAAACCTTTATAGTACCAAGGAAAGACTACGTTGAATCATAACAGATTATCATAAATCATAACTTCATGTGAAATTGGAAATCCCTTTCTAGTTACATATGTCCCCAGAGGTTAATTCTCATTTAAAAAATCCTTTAGTCTATACCACTGGTTATGGTTGCCTCTAATTACCTGATGAATACCACTAAATGATCAAGATTCTGTTAGGTTCCTTCTAAGTTCATGACTGAGACACTATTTTTTGGCTTAAATGATTCACAACTGTTGGAATGGTAATGGTCAATATCTCTGGAGACTTACCTTATCTAAGACATGAATGGTTTGTTCCATTATTCCAATCTGAAGAGTAATCAAAGACTCATAATTTGGTTCATTTAGGTACTTGAAGAGAAAAAACATATACATAAGAATATTTTTTTCTATTTCTTTCAATAGGTAACTTTTTAAAGGTTATTTTAGTTTCTTAAAAGCTACTGGTTTTATAGCAAAGTTAAAATGGATCTGATTTTTGTGCTATATTTATTCCTATCAGCCATCGATACATTCATCTGTATACTGTTACAAATGCCTAGGCTGTTTTCTCATTCATCCACTTATTTAGCCAACACATTATTTATTAAATGTCTCACTTGAGACCTACATTAACAGAATTCTGGTTAGAGATAATATGGTGGCATAAAGATAGACATTACGACTTAGCCTTCAAGAAAAATTGAGCATAAAGGTATTAGTTGCCAGGAGAAATGCAAAATATTAGCAAATACAAAGGTGGTTTGTTAAGGGATAGGATAACAAATCCAGGCAGGGTTTATGAAGGAGTCAGCAAACTAACCCTGGGAGAGCAGGTAGACTTGAGGTGTGCAAAACAAACCAAGGAAGAAAAGGAAGGAAGGAAGGGGCAGAAGTTGTTGAAAGGGGAGGTGGAAGAAGCAGAAGAAAAAGAGGGAAATGAAAGAAAAAGAGGAAGAGGAGGAGGGAAATGCTGATGAACAAGGAGAAAAGTGGCAAATGAATTTGAGTCTAAAAAGTTAAACTGAAAGACCCTGCCCACCTAAGGACCTCATAATTCATTTCTTGTTAATAAGTATCAGTTTAAAAATGTTTGAGCAGGGTAGTAATGTTATTAGAGAAAAATAGAAATTAAAATCTGACATCATATGTAAGTCAAAGAACAGACTAAACAATTTAAAATTTAGAAACAAAATTTAAGAGAAGGAATTTAGGAATTAATTTTAACTAGGTCTGGTGGCGCCTGTAATCCTAGCACTCTGGGAGGCTGAAGCAAGAAGATTGAAAGTTTGAGCCAGGCCTGGGCAATGAAGTTCTTATTGAGGCCCTGTCTCAAATAAAATGGGTGGGGATTGCTGCAGATGTAGCTCAGTGTGAAGGACCAGGGGTCAATCCCCAGTATGATTTTAAGAAATGAAATTGATTTTAAGACTGAATCACTGAAAATGGAGGGACCCGAACTGGGACAGAAACCATGGTGACAGAGACCACTCTGAGAGCTGCAGATTCCTATTAGCCCACAATGGTTGCCTGAAGAGCCAGCAGTTGGGGTGTGGGAAAGGAACAGCTCCCTGCACCACTGGTCAGAGCAGAGGTCTCAGTGATCTGAGACGTGATGTCTTGGATGGCAGGACAATAGTGCAGCTAAGGGCAACGTGACTCGTACAGAAAACTTCTATACAGGCAGAAATTAATCTATGGGAAAAAACAAATTTCCCATTAATCTATGAGCTGTTCCTGCTAGAATGTCTTGTTCCCTTGTTGCTAGGATCCTGCTCGCACCAGTGCTCTCCACCACACTGTTCCCTGCACTGCCCCTCATCCCTTCAAGAGGCTGTGTGTTAACACACAGTGGCGAGCTCCAGGAGATGGTGTCTGAGCCTGATAAGAGCTCTGACCATCCAGGGCCCCCATTTATGTAGTAAAGGTCTTGTCTTTTGTTATCCTGCCACTGTACCCTTGGTTAGGTGATTGGAGATCTCATCAGCCTCCAATATCATGGGAATAAAGATAATAAATAGATAAACAGGAGACTTGGAAGACAGGAAAAAGAGAAACCAAACACAATTAAAACTTTCGACTTTGGCCTGCCTTGCAAGCACAAGGACCCGAGTTCAATCCCCAGTACCAATAAAAGACAAAAAAACTTTCAAGCCTGAGAGAGGGGCTTCAAAGAACAGAAATAAATTAAGAAGAGCTTTGGGAGGGAGAAAATACAGAACTGGTGCTTGAGGGAGGTGAGGGGCAGAGGGCTTAGGCGGGAATGAAATTGGACATTGGGCCAGGGATTTAGCTCAGTGGTACCACTGCCTGCCTTGCAAGTGTAAGAACCCGAGTTCGATCCCCAGTACCGCCCCCTCAAAAAAAGAAATTGGACTGGAATCCAGAGAGCTGGGATTAGACTTTTAGAACTGATCACTGATGTTAGAAGAACAGAGATGATCATCAAAGAAGGCGGCAGGGAAAGAGACACAGCACTAAAGCAGAATCTACAGAAAGGCTATATTTAAGACTTAGATGGAAAAGCGTTAAAGAGGCCAAGTGGCCCGACATGTAGAAAGAAAAACAGGAAAAAATAAGGGCAATAAAAGCCAAAGGAATGAGTATTCTAGTTAATTTAGCTAAGGGGGATGGAAGGGTGATAAAGAAGCACTGGAGTAAACAGTAAAGAACTAACCTGCAGTGAACTGTAAGAGAACTGTGCTGCTTGGATGGGTCCTAAAGATGTGGAGGTAGCAAGTGTAAACTACTGGAAGGGAAAGAATTCATAGCAATGCGAGAAAATACTCTGGCTCAGAATATGCCTGACATCATGGAAGCTGGTTAAATGACTGAATAAATTAACCAATGAAGTTAAAACTAGGTAGGGACAACTTACCTTCTGACGATCTCTTGAAAAAAACAGCATCTGAATGTCCCAAGCCTTCTGATTGAGATCCTCCATTTCCATCTCCATTTTCTTATGATCCCACTCAATCTGATATATTCCTTTGTGTACATTTTTACTTTCCATCATACTAGCAATTTTCTTTTGTCCTTGAGTCTTGAAAAAGTGCAATTGGCATTCATATAATATGATTCTGCATTCAGAGTTGCAGGCTACTGAAGGCAGAGGCTAGCACAGAAAATGCTCGGGGCACAGAGATAATCTTTTTAACATGTGCAGCAAATATTAAAAAATGAGTACTGAGGCCAAAAATCTAACTTTTGGAACTTCATGCTACTTTCTACTCTTAAAAAAAATTATTAGTAAATGTTTGCAATCCAAATTAAATACCTTCATCATGGGAAATTGGTACATACACACATTGCACCTTCATACCTTTTACTTCTCCTCCTACCCCTTCTGCCTCCATTCCCAGCACTATTTCTATTATTTTCATCTTCCGATTATAGTTTGGCCTCTCAATTCCTTGGGTTTTCTATTTTCAATGACTCTTTTTCATTGCGGTCAGCCACCCAACTCCCACAGTCAAACCCTCGCTCTCGACATCGATAGCTGCAAAGCCTAAAGTTGAAACATTTCTCTAGAACATTCTTAGCTGGGGGAAGTCTGCTGCCCCATCCAGGCACAGTATGTTTTATGCTATGTCGGGGACATTTCTGGTTGACAGAACTGGAAAGCATGTAGTGTGTTGAGACCAGGGTTGCTGCTAAACTTCTGCAAAACACAGCCTGCACCTCCCTGCCCCGGGGAAAAAGACCTTCTCCCCACCACCACCATGAGTGACAAGGTTGTGACATGCTGTTTTAGAGCTCTGTCTTCTTTATGCCTTCCTTTCAGTCAGCTTTTTTCTGGTAGGATGTTAATCACTATCATTGTTCCCCTTTCGTATCTTTTAACCATCACTGATGCAGCTCCTTCCTCACCTTCCATTGAGACTATGCTTGTCAAGTACACAAATCTGTCCTCCTTGGAACGGCTTCTCTCCTGGTTTCCTCCTACTCTACTGCTCCACTGTCTCCTTGCCTGTTCTCTTGTCTGCTAGGCCTTTCAGAGTTGGGTTTTGGGTGTAGGCTCAAACTCCCTTTTCTTTGCTCTACCTCTAGGTGGTCTCAAAGAATCTCACAGTTTAAAGGATCTATATTTAATACCTGTATGCAGTAATTCATGTGCAATTATCTACATGTGATCTGTACAGACAGCATTCCTCAGACTGAGCTCTAGTCTCCTTTACATTTCTGATGGGTTATCCAAAATTTTAGGAGGTTATTTTTTTTTTAAATCTCTATCTTTCACATTCAACCCACAAAGTGTTGCTTCCACATGAAAAATCATGAAAAATCCAAATAAACTCCAAAATCATGAGATCACTGAGATCACAGGGCAACAAGGTATCCTGAAATCTAAGCAAATAAGGAGCAACCAAGCAGAAATAGAAGTCAAACACTGGCTGATTTGGAGGGAAGCCACATTTGGCATCATCAAAGGAGTTATAAAGAATTTAGATAATTTTTTTTAATACATTGCAAAGGCCAAGCATGAGCTAGTGTGAGAGTGTAGGTTTGGTGGGGCCAGAGGCAAACAGGTGTTTTCTCTCCCTTGCAGGTCCCTCCCTAGCTGGTGCATCCCATTGGCCGAAAGACAGGCAGCCACTGCAGGAAGCTGCAGAGGCCACTGGGGTACAGACCCAGAGAAGCAGGCGGAAGCAGCAGTCTGGGACAGGCGCAAACCAGCCAGATCCTTCTGCCATAGAGAAGAAAGGATTTATTTCCTGGGAGAAGGGCAGCAAATCCTGTCACCTGCAGGGCCAGAATATGAACAACTCTGTCTGGAGGAAGAGGACAAACTAAATGGAAACCAAACTTTTTACTCCATAGAAGAGGCAGCGAAACACTATCAACCAAAAATTCTAGATTTATAAAAACTATCCTTCCAAGATGAAAGACAAGCCAGGTGGGACATACCTGGAACCCCAGCTACTGAGAGGTAGAGGTGGGAGGATCTCAAGTTTGGGGCCAGCCGGGGCAACAGAGTAAGACCTCATTCCAAAAACAAATTAAAATTGAAGGATAAACTAAGACTTTGTGAGATAAACAAAAGTGGAAGGGGTCCATTGCTAGTAGACCTGCTCTATAAGAAATGCTAAAATAATTCCTTCCAGGTGAAAAGAAAAGATACTAGACAGACAATAATGCAAGGCTACAAGAAGAAATAAAAGTACTGCATAAACAACATAACCACATACTGGGCACGATGGCTCACACCTGCAATCTCAGCGACTTGGGAGGCTTAGCTGAGGCGGGAGGATGGCAAGCTTGAAGACAGTCTGAATACAGAGTGAGACCCTGTCTCAAAGTAAAAATGTAAAGCAGAGGAGAGGGGAGACAGGGATGTAGCTCAGTGGTAGAGCACCTGCGTGGTGTGGGTTTGGTCTCCCCAGCACCACACACACACACACACACACATATACACAGCAACCATGTAAGTGACTAACAACTAGAATCATTGTATTTGGTTTATAACTTTCTCTGTTACTTAAAAGAAAAAATGCATTCAACAATAATTATAAGTCTGCTAATAAGCACAGGCTGTGAAAAGACGCACCAATGGCAGCATGAGAGAGAGGAATGGCTTTAGCGGAGCAGACTTTTGCGCACTATTGAAACTAAACTGGCACAATTTCAGATCTGATCAAATAATAAAGCATGGATATCACTGTGATCCCCAGAAAAATCACTAAGAAACTAAATGAAAATCAGAAAAGAAAATAAGAAAGGAAGATCTAAGCAGTGCACTGTAAAAAATGAGCTATATATGAGCAAAAGCAAGAACGAAGAGATCGAGAAACCAAAAAAAAAATGTGAAATACAGAAAACAAAGATCAATATCAGAGCTAAGTTTTTCATCAATAATTCCTTTAAATATCAATGGATTAAGCTGGTTATGGTGGCACATGTCTATAATCCCACCACTCAGGAGGCTGAGGCAGGAGGATCGCCACAAGTTTGAGGTAGCCTGGGTTTCATAGTGAGTCCAAGGCCAACTTGAGCGACAGAGAGAGAGCCTGTCTCGCTCACCCCACCCGCCTCCAAAATGTCAACGCATTAAATGCTGCAATTAAAAGGCAGGAACAGGGAGAATGGATTTAAAGAAAAAACACACACACATCCAAAGGATATCATGTCTAGAAGGGATGTGCAAACATCTGGAATGTGAAAGGATGAAAAGACACACTCCATGGAGATTGTAACCAGAGGGTCTGGGTGGTGACACTCATGTCAGACAACGGACACGAGACAAAGACTGTCGAAAGAAACGAAGGACATTATATAATGGCAAACAGACAGTCCGCCAAGATGATACAACAATTGCGCATACACAGGCAGGTAAGAGCCAAGCCCTAAAGTACGAGGGGCAAAAGCGAACAGAACTGGAAGAAAAACCGACAGCGCTGCAAGAGTCGTTGCAGGCTTCCAAGCCCGCTTTCAGGGTCAGTTAATGACATCACCTTCTACTCAGGGGCTCTACCCCAAACAGGATGCTTTACCCAATAATGTGTAAAATAAAAGTGCAGGAGATCAACAAGGAATAGAGAATCTGAGCAACACCATTAGACCCAACCGCACAGTACAGAACACACCACCCAACAGCAGCAAAACGCACAGCCTTAGCGGGAAGTAGGGAGACAGGTCCTTTGCAAATGGGAAGGGGACCAAGAGATGGCGAGGGAGGGAGGGAAGGAAGAGAGGGGTGTACAGGAATTAGGGTGTGTTATGTGCATGTACCAGCTGCCCACGCCATGTGAACATTGTGTACTGCAAACGCACACTAATAAAATAAAAATTGCAAAAAAAATCCTTTGTAAGAATACATGGAACATGGTCCAGGACAGACCCTACGTTGGGCCATAAAACAAAGGGGAGTAAATCTTTAAAAACTGAAATTAAGCAAAGTTTCTGCTCTAACCACAACAGAAAGAAGCTAGGAGACAAGAACAAAGGAAAGAACTGGAAAATTCCTAATTATGTGGAAATTAAATACATTGCTGAATAATAATGGGCCAAAGAAAACATCAAAAGGCATATTAGAAAAAATTCTGAAATGAGAAAAAATGAAAATAATGAGACGCCCAAACTTATGAGATGTACAAAAGCAGAGCTCAGAGGGAAATATCTTAGCAGTGAATCCATCAAAAAGAAGACAACACAGTACACAGGGAAGAGAGGGGCCTTCAGGAAACGGGGGCATGGGAGAAAAGGGGTGGCGGGTACATGAACAGGTGCAAATTCCCTGTGATGAGCGTTATCACTATGTATCCCGGAAATGCACCGATAGATGTTGTGCTACTAAAAAAACGCAGACCTTGCATCAGTAATCTAACTTTACACTTACAGCACTAGAAGAGGACAAACTACAACCACAGCTAGGAGAAGGGACAGATTAAGAGCAGAAAAGGAATGAAATAGAAGATAGAAAAACAATAGGGAGAATCAGCAAAATAAAAAAATTGGTTCTTTGAAAAAAGTCCAAATGAGCAAATATTTAGCTAGACTAAGAAAGACCCAAATGTCTAAAATAAGAACTATGATCAGAGATATTACTATCAATGCTCTATAAATTTAAAGAATTACATAATGAAAATTATGTATACAATGTATAAACTACATCTATATAAAAAGAACATTTAACTCCATGGTCCCAAACTTTGTGTACCTTAGATTTTATTTTATTTATTTTTTTTTTTGGTACTGGGGATTGAACTCGGGTCTTTGCACTTGCAAGGCAGGCCACCGAACCGCTGAGCTAAATCCCCGGCCCTGTACCTTAGATTTTAAAAAATTTTTATTTGTATTAATACATGTTTGTAGTACATAATGACTGCATTCAACATGGGAAGTTGGAATTGTATTTATCTGAGGGGTTAGGATTATTTGGGAGGACCTTAGCATTACTAGAGGAGTTTTGAAAAATACTCATGCTGGGGGACAGGGACTGACAACGCTGTAAAGTCCTTCAGGGGATTTTAAGGCACAGCTACAGTTATGGTAGGAGCCACAGATTTAAATGAATTCAAAATACTTGCCATGGACATAAGAAAACAGTGTAACATGTGGCAGGCAGTATGTTGTGCTGAGTTATTCCTTTTTAAGAAAGTATAATTACCCGAATTACAGAGTTCAGATCTTCAATGATGGTCCTATTGATGAGAATTGCATCAGGATACTGCAGAGTTTGCTGGAAATTCTCCAGTTCTACTTGTCCTTGTTTAAGGAGAATTTGTATCGTCAAATTCAGCTGGTATTTCATTTTGTCTTCCTGTAATCTAAATCGAAAAAGGCCTCAAAGCAGGTAGTTGCAATACATTTATATTTCAAATTTTACCTATTACCTGAGAATATAAAATTCAAGTAAGGCCTGGAATGTCAGTGGAACTGTTGTCCTGCTCTGAAAGGACCCTTCCTGAGCAGAAATACCTAATAAACTTTGTCCTGACAAATAAATAAATAAAATTCAAGTCAGCTTAACTAGACATCAATGTGAAGAGCATTTCCTAAATGGTAAACGCTCTGAAGACTCGCCAATGTCTTTTCGTACTGACTGAATTACAATTGAATTGTTCAGAAAACAGCAAGGACAGAATATATTCATAAAATTGCACTTAGGACCAACGAAATGCTGTATAGTTTTGTGTTTTGTTTTTTTTTTGTACCGGGGATTGAACTCATGTCCTTGAGCTTGCAAGGCAGGCCACCGAACCACTGAGCTAACTCCCCGGACCCTGTATAGTTTTGATTGTAGTAAAAATGAGGAAAACAGAGATACTGCCAGGTGTAAAGCCTGTTAAAGTTCTAATTTGTTGATTTACTGATTTCTGATACTACATTAACATATTTCATCGATATGCTACTTATCAAATCTATCTCTGCATAATTCGCATTCCTGCCTGAAGTCTAGATGGGGAACAGTGACGAAATGGGGAGCATCGAGGTACTTATCCACGGGGCTGCCGACAGGGCCTTCCTGAAGCAAGAATTTGAAAGGGTAGAAATCCAGAGAGGGAGCAGAAGCTGCCCTGAAGAGATCGGCGCGGCTGGCGGACGCCTGCTTCATTTTCCGCAAGCTTACGCAGCTTGAGCCACAAAGTACTCCCCGGCAGAGACAGGTCCTCCATATTTTTATGCGGAAGTGGCAGTTTTAAAAAATACTAAGATTTTTTCTAAAACTTGCTTCTTTATATTAGGAGCACTGAAACACGCACGTGGTAGACTCCATCCGGAAACAAGTGTTACCGAACCAAGTGCGCTTTTCACACAGCCGCTCTCCACCCAGTGCCCAGACGGAGACAGACCCGGCCTTCCTGGGCCCGACAAGTAAACCTGAGTGAACGTTTCCAATTACAGGGTGAGTTCGTGGAACACTTTCTCGATCTCCTGCTGCACCTTTTCGTCATCCTCCAATCTCTTGCGGAGAAAAGCCGTCATCTCCACTAAGCCAGCCGCTTTCTGCTTCACCTGAAAACACCCAACACCTCAGGAGCCAAGGACCTTCAACTGTGGAAAACAGACGTCTTTAATCTTTTTTTTTTTTTTTTTGCCACAAAACTTTACCAAGCCCATTTTCTAAGATTTAATAAAAATTCAAATCCTTGCCATTATGTAACAGCAAATGCGTAAAACTTTCATGGGACATTCCATGAAAAGGAAGAGCAGCAAACGGCTTCTTGCTGAAAATCAAGTAGGCGAGCAACTAATATTTTTTATATCGCATTTTGAAATTTGTTCCCATCAACTTGGATACAATTAAAAATTCATAGATATGTGAACAAAAACAATGTGCCAGCCTGATGCATGTGGCACTGAGATCAGGGAACTGGGGGAGGGAGGCAGGGCACAGGCAGGGAGCAGCACGAGGAGAGATTCTTCTCCACAGAAACCTGCTTCTAATTTTTACCCTTTGCTACACTATTTTTCTATTTTAGCAAAACTATAAAGTTGATTCTGGTGAGCTAAATAGGACCCCAATCTATGCAAAATAAGATCGTCGATAAGAGAAACCTGTCTCATCTTGAAGAGAAGTAGAAGGCGAGCCATAAATAAATCTTAGTACAGTAGTAGCTACACTATGAAAGTGTGATTAAGGGGATAGTTAACGTTACTAATCTATTTTATCTAATAAAATATATCCAAAATGGTATGTCAACCTATAATCGGTACAAGAAACATTAGTGAGGCATTTTCCATTCTTTTTCTCATACTGTCTTCTAGATCTGTGTGCATTTTCCGTTTGTAACACATCTCACTTAGGAATGGCCGCATTTATTTCAAATGCACGATGACCACACACACCCATCTCTATAGGCCACTGTTTTGCAGCGTGGGTGTATGAGCACAGGACCACACTTTAATAGCACCAAAGTTTTATTTCGTTATTTTATTATTGACATTACCAACAACTACTACCTCAGAACAAAAACCTAAACCATAATGATGTACTGACCAGTGTAACTATGTATTTGATATTAATACACTAAAAATAAAATAATAAAATAGATGACATTACATACTTTGTATTCATTTCCCACTTTTGCTCTTCTCGTTATGCAGAAATGATCCCAGACCAAGGGGTCCAAGCCTTCTGGCATGTTAATAATATTGTCCAACTCCTCCATGGCTTTCATTGTCTGGGCAAAGGTGTCCTTATTCAACTCGCCAACTCCTGGTTGCTCTCCAAAAGGGATGATACTGGCTGTGTCTGATTGTGCTTTCTGCTTCTGCATTCTGGGATTATCAAGAAAATCCCATTAATATTTCACATTCTTAAAAACATGAGTGTTAAATAACAAGGCCCTTAACACAGGCATGATGCGCTGTGTGCCAATTCCCTACAGCACCTGATGGTTGGCAGGGGCATTGTTTCAAGGAGAGAAACACCACTTTGTCCTTCCGCACTCTCTAACTTCCCAGACCTGACCCTCGCTGGACTCCCGACACCCCTAACTGTTGTCAGCACTGGCCGCTTTACCTGTGCTTGGGGCTGCTGCCCTTCTGTGTGATGTAAGCAGACGGTAAATGCCCAGGGGAGGGGAAGGGGTATCCCCTGGGTCCATCTGGCACATCCTCTGTGGTACCCTTTTTGCAGCAGGATATACTTAGGTGTATGTGGGACTCGAGAAGTGTTTCTTTCACCTACACTGACAGATTCGCTTTGTTTCCTGAGCTGCAGGTGGGAAGGAACAAAGGGCACCCAGTGTGGCTTTTCTGTGCACGGTGAGATCAGCTACCACGGACAGGGCAGTCAGGGAGATGCTGTGCCCACAGCTGGCTCTGAGTCTGATAGTTGCAGTGTTAGGGTTTGCAGCTAATTCTGTCTGACAGCAAAGCGTGTGTCTTCCTCCCTGCTGCCTCCCAGTATGTAGAAAGCCACACTTCTTTCTTCACAAGGAAAAGCCATGCCCTTGGGTTTATTATACTACACTGCTTTGCAAACAAGGAAACTAAGACCCCTAGATTGCACGGAACTTGTCAAGGTCAGAGAGAGTCCGTACGCAGGACACAAATCAGCCTATTCCTTTGTGAAAAACTGTATGATTTCTGGGTGAAATTTGATTGACAGCCTGAATTTATACTGGCATTTTTCAAACTGCTTTGAGCACAATCACATGAGATAGTCTAAGGAAAAGCAATTTTGTTTAAGTAAGTTGAGAAAACACTGCTTACTCTATTTCTTATACTTGGTGATCCAAAGGCCAAAGAACAAGTTCCAAGAGGCTCTGCCATAAATAATGCTATTTAGCTGGGTTTTATTAAACCCAAACTTACTTTGTCTTGGAAACCTATTACATGTAAATCCAACTCACATCATACTTGTTAGGACATATTTGGGGTAAAATTTTATGAATCTGTATGCCATCTATGACTTAGAAGGAACTACTATCACATATTAAATAGAAACAATGATAGCACTATGCTAAATGCTCAAACGTTTTAAAGTCATGAAATAGTTATATTTCACTACCCTATCTAAGATATAGACATAGTTTTAAAAAATACTGAATAATGATGCAGATGAACGTCTTCACCTAAAAGATGTCACACATCAATTTCTATCTAATTGGGAGGAAAGTGAGAATTTATTCTTCATCTATAGACTTTTCTTAGAAACCGAATAGCAAAGTAAAAACAAACCTTGGTCGGCGTTTAAAAAGTTTATAGAGTATATCCACCTGTTGACTTGGAATTTCAGAAAATTCCTTTTTGAAGCTTCTATCCAGAACCTAAGGGCAAACACATCGCCAGATTGTGACTTTGCTCAGAAACAATACTCTTAAAGACAGGGGCTGTACCACTTTGATTAAAAAAAAACAAAAACATGAAAACACGGTTTATGAAGTTGTTAAGAGGGTGACTATTCATGGTGCAGACTTCTCAAAGATTTATTTTTGAATAGCAGGTACCTTAGTGTATTAAAAATATTATTCCATACAAGAGGTCTTGAAAATCATCCAGAAGTTTCTTCAAATAATATTTACTCCTAAAAACATGCAAGTCAGTGAATTCTTTCCATCCCACTCCATTCCATTGAATTCCATCGCTTTCTACCCCTCCGTTTCACTGTTCTCGTCTGTCTTCTTTATGGGATTCTATCCTATTCTTTTCCTTTATAAGCCTGCTGGCCATACTTATTAAATTGATTTCATGATCACAGATTTTTCAGAAACATACAGTGGCATAGAAGGACACTGGCTCATAACTGAGAATCATAGTAGGAAAGAAATCTGACAATATTATGTTATCTCCCATTCAACCTTCCCCCAGCCATGAGAGCCACAACTCGACTGTCCAGTCGGTGGGACACAGACTCACTTTGTCCTCTGCCAGCAAGTTGTCATAGTTCTCCTTGTACATATCGAGGTCTTCTCTAGATTTCCGGACTGCTTCTGAAGTGTGGCTCTATAATAACAGCAGGAATAGTGAATTGGAACTGGAGACTTTTGGGGACAAGCAAAACCACGGGAGATTCTAAGAAGGGATTTCCCGGTACAAGATAAACATGCCCATGAAATACCCACTACAGATACACATTACAGAAGGAAGCACACCGGAGACTTGGGAGGGCCATGCATCCGATCACGGGCTTGGAAGGGCAGCCAGCGCTGTGCATGTCTGTGTCTAAGAGGACCCTGCAATCTTGCCAGGAAGTGTGGGTGAGGACAGTGTCCGGGCTCGGCATTGCACGGACCCACCTGTGTCCTGAGGAACTAGAAGTACATATGGACAGTGGCTGCACCATACACGAACACAGCCCACTCGGCCTCTGCAGTGACCAGCTAGGAAGCTCAACCACAGCTGTGGCCACAGCCCAAGTAACCAGTAGACTGCCAATCTACTGTGGCAACCAATAGGTTGCCTGCTTCTAATTGGTTTGCCCATACCAACTGATTCCACGGACTGTGCCTCCTCACTGAAAAGCCTGCCACCCCCTGCCTGCCTCCACAGCCCAGTGCAAGTGACAGTGGCTGTTTTCCGCACCCTGCCAAGCTCTGAATAAAACACTCTGCATAATCTTTTGGGTGGTCTTCATCTTTTCCACTGCTCCTGTTTCTGCTCTATGACTCGAGCATTTTATTCGGTCTCTCTGAGATGGGATCTCGTACCCAGCCAGGTTGTTGCAAGGTGGGGTGTACCTAGTTCTTTGCTTTTGCTGTTCGACAGACTCTTAGAAAAAAGTTATGTACTTATGTCATTTATGATACTTTAAATTATACATTCATAAATGTCCCTTATTGATAAAAAGTAATAAAAGCTGACATATTTTAAAGCTTATTATGTAATAAGTTTTGACATTCATTCTTCTAATGAATCATACCCGTTAATACTTATACATAGATCTTTGTTAGAATATGACAGTGTTTGTTCTATAAGCTAACCCATTGCTTCTGTGTTTAGTAAACTTTGGGAGTTTCATGGTGCAGAGAGAACAGCATTCCTGGAGAGTGGCATGGAAGCACCTTCAGAGATTGTGTACCATGTCCAGCATCCCACGTATAGCGAGTCACTAGTTAAAGGCTGATGCTTTCTGCTAGGTATCTAGGTGGCTTCATTTTATAAACCATGAGGCAGAGAAAGTTACAGTTTTATCATTGATTTGATTTTCTCTGGTACCAGGGACTGATGCTAGGGAGGGCAGAGATACATTTCTAGCCCTTTTTAAAATTTTTGATTTTGCAATAGGGTTTTGCTGTTGCCTGGGCTGTCCTTGAACTTGTAACCTTTCTGTCTCAGCTAACTTAGCAGCTAGGATCACAAGTGTGCACCATCACACCTGGCTACACAGTTCTGCTAACTTATGACTGCATTTGCAGAATCACGTAACTTTGTTGCTAGAGGGGGGCGGGTATTTCCTGGCCCTGGAGCAAAGTCACAGAGAGGAAGCCAGGGGAGGCCCACGGTTTCCTAGGAATGGCAGAAGGAAGGAAGGAAGGATCCAGCTGCAGGAGCTCTTGCTAAACATGAACTCAGATGCAGAAAAACCCTGGGAATCAGACGTTAGGCACTACACTTACTTTTTCTTCCTGCTTCTTTGAAAGGTAGTTGTTCAGAAACATTTCTCTGGAGTTTAACTCTTCATCCAAGAGTAAAGAAAAAATAAGATTACTTATTTTCAGTTCTTCCTGTAGAAATATGAAAGGGGTGGAATGATCAATACTCCTACTGGAGAAGACACTTTCCACCTTTGGTCATAGGCTTAGCTCTAAACAAGTAAGTTTATGATGTACAAGTAAGATGTTATGGCTTGTGTCTAGATGACCCCCCGCCCCGGAAACTTCATGTATTCATATGTGTGGCTTTTGGAGGTGGCTGGATCAAGAGTGTGTGATACTGTGGTGCCTGGATTGAGGGTTGCATGGGTTTAGCATGGTTCTGGGTGTAGATAAAGGAAGGGAAAGGGAGGCTGGATGCTGCTTGCTGCTTGCTGCCTCTTGCCTGGTCTGCCACAGACTGTTTCTTTCCTGTGGTGCCACCCTGCCTTGGAGACAGCCAACTGTGGACCAGAACCTCTACAAATTGTGAGTCAAAATAAACTTTTCCTCCTTTAGCTTGTGGGAGTTGGGTATTTTGTCTCAAAGATGAGAAAAGTAACTATGACATAAGAAATCTCTTTTTTGGAGGGGAGACAGAGTGTTGAGTTCAGACCCTTACCACTGAGCTATGGTACCCTCAGTCCAAGAAAAATATTTTAATGAAAAAGTGAACAGAGACAGTCGCTGTAACTATTTGGTTATTTTACCTTTTCATTATTTCATTGTAAGTTAAAATACACATAAAGAAAAATAAATAACATGAATGTATAGTTTCATGAATTAGAAAGGCCATTTTCCTTTTAAAGCCTTGTTGTCACCACACAGTTCAAGAACTGGACCTCTTCCTCTAGAGAACTTGTTTGCAGGTGTCCTTGTTAAGCTCTCAACCTCAGTGGTGACCAGTCTTAACTTTCACAATAGCAACTTCCCATGTTTCTCTGTACCCAAGTGAGTGTGCCATCAGGCACCAAGTGTAACTTGTCCATTGAAACCAATGTTGTCATGTCTTCTAATCTCTTAATCTTCATGTGCCCTTCTACCCCTGGCTTTCCTTCCCAGCTGATCTGTGGAAATCAGCAGTCTCTGTTGTTTGCCCTAAGCTGGGTCATACCAACTCATACTCGGGTGTGGTTCATCAGGCTCCTTAATCCTTTGTATTTTCTAAAAATTGACAGCTGGATCCAGAAGGCTTAGACCTAGGTTTGATCCTTCGGTAGATCTGTAGGTGATATGTTTTTTGATCAGGGTACAAAGAATATCTGGTTATCTTTCTGTGACATTTGCAGCTGTGATGTCTGTAACTCCATTGAGAATTGCAAAATGGGAATGGTCTGTTTCTACTTTCTAAAAAAATGTATTAAAGGGACCGGAGATTAAGCTCAGTGGTCCCATCACCTACCTCACAGGTGGAAAGTCCCGAATTCGATCCCCGGTACCCAAAAAAATGTATTAACTAAAATACTTTTCTTAAAAGGAGCTCTACTTATCTACTGCTTGGTTACCTGCTGGTTCAAATCATACGGGAAAGGCAGAATAAGTACTGGATGTTTTGCTTTCATTAATTTCAGATAATGAATTGTTGTCACCATTTGAAGTTGGCATTTTCCTTTTAAAAAAATATCACAAATTCATGAATTTGAACAACTTTAGGGGGTCTCAACTAATTCAATGACTGTATTATCATCTTTGAACCTTCAAAGGTTTCACTCAGAAATGTGTGGCTCCTGAACCCTTTGGATGTAACCTAGCAGTCTGATGCCTTCCTCGTTATTGTGTATAAGACGCTCTGAGCTTATCTGTTTTTCTTAAATAAGAGCTTCACTGCGATGTATTTCATGTACACACAGCTCACCATTTACAGTGTGCAACTCAATGGCATATGTTGTGTATTCAATCGCAAAACTTTGTCACTGCAAAAAGAAACCCTTCAGCAGTGATTTTCCAGTTTACTGTCCTGGCCCTCCCCACAGCCACTTCTCTCCCCTCAAGGCAAACACCCACCAGGACAGGAGGAGGAATTTTGGTAGCCAGGGGAGCTGCATGTGAGCCCCACGAGGGGCTTGCGGGCGAGTGAGGGTGTCAGTCACTGTCTGGGAACCTTTTGTTTACCTGGTTGACAACCGTCTCAGCCCTCACTCTCCTTTCAAAGAGTCTTTTCAAATGTTCGTCAAAGTTCTGTGTGCTTTCTTGAATAAAGTTTTGAAGTTTCTTCAGTTCTGCTTCTAAGGACTGAAAGGAAGGAAAACATTTAGAAATATTAAAAGTGAACGCAAAGCTGGTGTTTGCACTTTGCCACAAGGGAGGGACAGTGGGAAGGGCAGACCTTGTCACTGCTGTGGTCTGGACATGTTCCAATTGGAACTAAGATATTGTTTGTCTGGGATTTTTGCTTTTGAAAATTACACTGAATGCCAGGTGTCACGGCACATGCCTATGAGCACAGACTTGGGAGGCTGAGGCAGGAGAATTGCCATGAGTTTGAGGCCAGCCTGGGCTACACAGTGAGTTCTAGGCCAGCCTGAACTGTACAGTGAGACCCTGTCTCAAAAAAAAAAAATTGAAAAAAAGGGTTAAAAATCATTAATCATGGCTAATTATGCAGCCTATAGTATGCCCAGTAAAACAAATCATAGCAAATCTTCCCAGGAAATTCTGACTTTATGGGATAGCAATTTCCAGACACATAATTTGGCCCTTTAAAAATCTCGCATTTTTTTCAAGCTCTGGATACCTTTTCATGGAATTTTATATTATATATTTTTATATATATATTTGTGGGGGGGCAGAGGATTGAACCTAGAACCTTCTCTCTGACCTACATTCCTTACCTTTTATTTATTTTTTATTTTGAGACAAAGTCTCACTAAGTCACATAGTTGCCCAGCCAGGGCTTGAACTTGAGATCTTCCTGCCGCAGCCTCCCAGAGTGTGGGGATTACAAGCGTGCACCACCAGGTCCAGCTTTAAGTTTTTATGTCAGTAAAGAAGTAATCCAGGGTGAAGGAAGAAGGTGGAGGCATACAGTGAGACAAGACTGGCCGTGAGTAACTGTGAAACTGGACAGGGTGATCACACTATTCTCTACACCACTTTATTGTCATGGTTTGGTTTCCGAGACAGGGTCTCACTGTGCGGTCCAGGCTGACCGCGCTCTGTCCTCCTGCCTCAGCCACTCCAGCGGTGGATTCGCGGGTGTGCACCGCCCTGCCAGGCTCTGTTCTGTTATGCACGTTTGACATTTTTCATAATAAGCTCTTCTGTTTAATTGAGGAGATGGACACTGGAAATGGTGCACGTGGACTTTCTTGAGTTTTGCTGTGGAGGGGAGCAGGGATTCTGAGCAGCGGACCAAGAGGAAAGTGGGGTCAAGAGGAATTTTGTTTATTTTCCTTTCTATTTTGAAGTAAGTTCAGTCTAACCGAAAGGCCACATGAATACTAGAAAGAACTCTAACATCCCCTTCGAGGGAGAATGTGTACGTGTACAGTGCGTGTCTGTGCTGCTGGGGAAGAATCCAGCGGAGGAAGCAGGAGCAGGCTGCCGAGAGGGGAGCCCTGCAGCGGCACTGCGGCCTGGGTGCGGCTGCACGGACCATGCATGCAGGGGCGGTGGAGGTGGTGGTGGGAAGGAAAGATTCCTTCGAGCTTTTCCTTTCCTTCTGGTGAAATAGGAAACAGGGCCAGCGTGAGCTAAGGGCTCGAGAAGTCAAGCAGCAGGGTGAGCGGAGATCCAGGGCCCGGCCCCACCTGGGCACTGGGGAGACCTGCAGAACCTCAGGCTCCTAACAGCTCCCGGATGCCAACACAGGAAGACACTGTGAAATCTGAGTGTGGCTCTGCAGCCCCCGGGGGATGTGGATTGCGACCCTTGTGAGAGCACCAGTTGGGTTCAAAGGCATTAACCGAGGGTGAAACCCGGTACAGTCGCCATTTTTCTTTATCTACTGCATGAGTGGAGGTGCAGAAAAGGCAGAACACTGGATATAATCATGCTGGGCTCCCAGGAGGAGTGTGAGGAAAACTATTTCTTACAACACGAAAGTGTGGAGTGAATGCCCTTGAATGGCCCCCATCCTTTTTCTTCCTTGGGCATCTACGCTCCCTAACTCCTCCAAAAATCTGCTTCTTTCAGGAGCACTTGTTTTGGCTTTTTTAGGTGAGTACTGTTTTAGGTGAGATGCAAGGGAAAGCTGCGGTGAATAAAAACATGGATGGTTACGCATGGGCTCAAGGAAGTTGTTCTTGAGTTACAGCCACCATAAAGCTGCCAGGCCATTCTGTCTCAGAGGGTGGTGTGGTTTCACTTCCTTTGTAGAAGAATAAATACTGTTTACTGGCTACACACTGTCATCTTTCTAAGCAATTTCATGCGAGAATGTTTCTTTGTGATGGAAGAAGATTAAAAAATAGCAGAACTGCAGTGCAAAAACCTGGAGAACTGTAAAGTATGTGCTGCCCGATGGCCTCTATCTTTCCTCAGATCCAACAACAGTGCTCCGGGCCTCAGACAGCCAAGTCCCCTGCAGGGACTTGCACACTTGATCACAGGCAGCTAAGTTAGACAGAAATGAATATGCAGTCAGATAGAGATCAGCCCTGGAGGGAGGCAGTGCACAGGATGAAGACATCAAAATTGTGGTTGGAGGTGACTCTGAGGAGGACCAGGCTCAAGATGGAGACCCAGGGCCGGGGATTTAGCTCAGTGCTTCTGCCGCCTGCCTCGCAAGTACAAGGACCTGAGTTTGATCCCCAACACACACACACACAAAAGATGAAGACCACAGCCAGGCCTGAGCCTCCCTGGAGAGAAGCAGCAGCTCAAGGTTGTACTGTGATTAGTGCCTCCTGGTCCAGTGGGCCCAGGTAGACATGGAATGCATAGGTGCATAGGTGGAACCTTCCCTTTCCAGGAATGCCATTGTTGTTCTAGGTTACAAGGTGTAGATAAGCTAAGGTTAATGGTGCTGGCTGCACACCTTGATGCGAGCCTCACTTCCCTGTTAGATCAATAGTAGCTAAGTGAATATACTTGTAAGCCTATTGGTTGATTATAGTTTGACCCAGGTTGTACCCAAGTTGTGATTTTGCTGCTTAAGATATCCCTGGAGAAAGAACTTCCATGGCAACCCACTGCTGGCACCTCGTGTCTCTCAAGAGCTTCCTCCCAACAAACCTTTCCTACACACTCATTCCTCAACACTGGGGGATATGGGCTCCACAGCTGAATCTAACAGGCCGGGCATTATTCCCCATCACAGGAGAGTACAACAGGAGTCATGAAACACTCGGAGAAGGAAAGGCCACGTGCTGGATGCTGAGGTCGATGACTGCGTCAGAGAAAACCTGCTGTGTGTCTTGTAACTCTTTAAATTTACCTTCCTTACTTATCCAAATTCTCTTGAGAATTTAAGTTTAAACCCTATCTTAAGCTGTTACAGACACTGAGAAAATTTTTTAAAAAACATTCAAAATATATTGAAACAAACCCCTGGCTGTGATATGCTAGTGGGTTCATTTTTGCGCATCCTACCTTTCTATACTTGTCTCTCTCGTCATTTAGCTCCTTGACTTTTTTCTCATAGTCTCTGAATTGTTTCCTTTCCTCTTCTGTCCACAGAGCATCGGGTTTTGCCATGAAAGCTGGTTGCGGGATCACCTGAAGGAAGAAGGGAAGAGGGACGCCGGGCTTAACATAGCACAGTACGAGACAAGCCTGGAGTTCTGCGCCGGCTAAGCCAAAAGCCTTGCATGGGGCCATGGCCCTTCATGTTGGCAAGGACGGTAGCCTGGCCCTTTTACAGCTGCTGAGGGAGGTAGCCTGGGACCACCCAGAGCTCAGGTGCGTGCTGGTGTCTTCTCTTATCTGGCCCTGCACTGGCTCTCCAGGGACACCTGCAGGCATCAGAGACGGTGTCACTGCTCTGCATCCACAGTTACAGGCAAAGCAGTGTCCGGCCTTTGCGAATGACCCAAACTGCCGTGCCTGCATGTGCTGGTGTTTGCTTTAGTGGGAATGGAAGGCACATTTCTTATTTGCCTACACGGTATGTTTATAAGGTGCAGCAGAATTTCTAACACGGAGGCTCCTAGAGGACAAAAGTAGTAAACCTGTGAGTCTCTCCACCCCACTGCACTTCTCCGAAGGACAGCCAGGAAGCTCACCATTCTCAAAATGTCTTCCCTCTTGACTTCCAGGACGCCTCCCATCATGTCCATCAGGCCTTTTCTTCTTTCACTGGAGCCCTGGAAGAGCCAGGATCAGAGAGGGCAGCTGAGACAGGCACCCACAGGGCCGCGCTGCCTGGTATTACAAGGATGGCTCTCAGGGGCGGGGAAGGTGGCAGCAGGGTGGGAGATGGAATAGAAGGGACTCTGGGCCATGACCCGTGCCTGCTGTGGTCTTCATGTGGGGTGCAAGCGCCCCTAAAGGAAAGGCGGTGGGGGCACAGCTGGAGCGAAACTGCCTACCCGCGCCTGGATCCATCGCCGAATCTCGCGGACCACAGTCATTTCTGCTTTGGCTCTTTGCCATGTAGTGAAGTGTCTTGGGGCTGTAATCTGAGAGAGAAAATGCAGCGTCCTGCTGATATTCTTACCAAATTCAGGCCAAACTTTCCTCCCACACATCGGGAGGCAGCTAAACTGTGTTAAAGGGATGAGGGGGACAGGGCAGATTTTGCAGTCAATTTTCTATTTTAGAATGAAAATGAGATCTAAAGTGAGGGGCTGGAGAAACAGGTCTTTATTTCTCTGTTGGCTCAGAAGTCTTCCCCCACCACCGCAGAGCTTATATCGGGGGATTTGATTTAGATTAGAAGGAAGGGAAGAGCGGCCAGAGAGGTGTCCCCTAAGCCAAGTCCTGAAGGATGGAAGTTGCGGGAGGGCAAAAGCTTGAGACATTCAAAAAACTGAAGCAGGAAAACGTGAACAGGACAGAGGGAGGACAGCTGTGTGCAAGGGTTGGGCAGAGCAGGACCTGCCACAGGTCCCTCTCCTAAATGTAGGATGGATTAGAGCTAAGACAGCAGACTTGAGGCCTCAGCTGCACAGTGACAAGGTGACCACAGGGAGGGGCCCAGGCAGACCAGACCTCAGCTCTGTCCCGAGTGAGACATCAGTGGTCAAGGACTTAACCTCACAGCACCTCACGGTCCTCATGGGTGGGTGGGGGAACATCACTGCCCACCCTACAGGATGGTATAGTTATAAATGTATCCTAAGCTATCAACAGCACTTATGTGCTGGGAATTTCACAGGGGCTATAGAAATGTTTGCCATTACTTCTTGATATCACTATTAACTTTTGCCCCCAAAATATTTAAGTTGGTTTCATGTCGACAGAATTTTTGTTTGGGTATTCTTTAGGGTTTCTTTTTACTTTTAATAAATGAATTATGATCACATGTTGTTTCTTTAAGCATTATTATTATCTTTTTTTTTTTTTTGGTACCGGGGATTGAACTCAGATCCTTGTGCTTGCAAGGCAGGCAGCGGAACCGCTGAGCTAAATCCCCGGCTGTTGTCATTATTATCATCATTGCAGCTGCCTCTGTGATAACACTGTGAAGTAGTAAGAGGGCAGCTCAGCCAGCCGCCTTTACCTGGGATCTGTCCTGTCCAATGACGCCCGTCAGCGGCAGGGAACCCACGGCACGCGTGCCACAGCCGGCTCTTTGTTCCTGACCTAGGCCATCACTGGAACCCCACCGGCCTCACTCCCACAGCAGGATCCACCCTGGCGTGCAGGCACTGGGCCTCCTGGGCCAAGCAGCCCCTTCCCACACAAACTCTGAAGTGGGATTAAGCAATTCTAACTCAAACCAGCCGCCCTTGGGTGGAGTAGACAGGAAGTAGAGGTTACCAGGAAAGGCCAAAATCGCAGAGAAGTGAGCTCAGAGATGAAGGAAGAGGGCTTCTACCTGCTCCCAGGGCTCCGGATTTAGGATCCCACTTCTTCCCAAGCTTTATGTCCAAATATCCCCTGACTCTGGGATTTGGAAAAAGCCTCACTGTTGTTGGATGTTGCCTATTTCTGCAACCTGTACCTGGGAGTGCCCCTATACGGTCATCTACACGGCGGAAGCAGGAAGGGGTGGGGAGATCCTGGGAAGAGGGAAGCTAATAAGGCTGGCACTACCTCAGAATTCTCCACAGCAAGGGTCCTTTCTGGCTTCTCGCAGTCTTCAAATTCTGGTTGCCAGACTTTTTCTCCCAACTCCAGGTCTGAAATAATTTCTTTAATCCTAACATTTCTCTCCATCACCCGTGCAACTTCCAGCTCTTTTTGTTTAAAGGCAGCATCAAACTCATTATTGAAAGCAGTTTTCACCTTGTAAATGATGTCCTGAAATAGCAACAGGTTACCTGAAACACACGCTGCTACTGGCAGTGTGCCGCTTGTCACCCTTCCCTTTCCAGATCAGCCTAGGGATTATCTTTTAAGAAGGAAAGCTAATCTTCCTAGAATCATGTTTGAGTCCTTTCTTGTTTCAATAATCTGCAGTGGCCTCCGACCACGGCTGGGCTGAAGGCCACAGTGTAACTTTCATACCCTAACCATGAAGCTGTAACCCAGGGTGCAGGTGCGATGACAAATGTGGAAATGGTTGATGGGAACTTGTGGGCAGTTTGCTCTATTTTTACGTAGGTTCGAAAACAATCCATTACAAATATGTATAAAGCCATACACAGGGTGGAAGGTGGGAAGCAATTTTCCTCTGGAACCTTGTTTGGGGAGCTGTGGAGAGGAGGAAAGGACTTGGAGACGCCTCACCCTACACACATTCTTCTTCTTAAGGCCGGGTCATTCTCAAGCAGAAGGGGATGCAACTGCCATCAGAGCTCAGTCTGTGTACATCAGGCTGGAGAAAGAATCTTAACACCTAGCACCAGAATCTCTCTTGGGCTGAAGTTACCTCCTTGTAGGCTTCTTAATAAAGAAGCCAGAAATTGAGCCCCTGGACCCTGGGTCAGCAGAAGCTAACCAACAAAAGATAACTAAACTGTTAACCAAAATTTCAAGGGGTGAAGGAGAAGAAGGGATGAGGACAGGAAGCCAGAGCTGAGTAACACAGAAGGAAGCTAGAACTCAAATTGCAGACATGGCCGAAGGACTTTAAAGCACAGAACTGGCTAGCCTTAAATTTCAAACTATGTAAATCTCAGTCGCTGCATTTTCAAAAACCTTTGGTAGGGTCGTCTACATATACAGATGTGTCCAAAGCCTCACTTGTCTGGTGGACAGTGAGGTGTAGGGGCTCAGAGCCAGGCGCACCTCCCACTTTAGTCCAGACCCCAAAAATGTACAGAAACTCAAGAGGAAATTTCTCTGAGGTAAGCAGATAGATAAGCATTTACATCTTGACCTCACAAGAGGTCCAGTGATGCCTGTGAAGAGTTTCTTTGAGCTGACCAAAGACCTAAGCGGAAGAACAGTTTATGGTGTTCGCCAGTATGGAATGTTCTTTAGGAAACTTGCTATCACAGAACCCAGTCCAAGTGAATTCAAGCCACTCTTGTGTTCAAGCTCTGACTAAAGGACATGGAGCCAACCATCTGCACATTTTTCTGTGCACTTCGAAGACATTCGATGGGCACGAGGCTGCAATGGAAGCTCTTGAATGACATCTTAGAGAGAGTTTCAGAGACTGCTAAGGACAAGGAGGAAATTCACCCACTTTCAGTAAGATAATTTGGTTGATTTTCTCCTCTCTGGAATGAAGTTCCAGTTGGCTTGACAACAAGGAAGTGTCTATCCCAAAGTCAGTACTCAGACTGCCAAGCAAGTAATTGGGCAGCTTGGTGTCTGTTACTATCTTCTCTTCATCCTCCTCCTCCTCTTCCTCCTCTTTGTGGTCGTTCTTTTTCATGGAGACTGCAGACTGATCCTCTACAATTTCCTTCTGTAGCTAAACACAGAAACAGATGACATGGAAGCTACATGATAATAAGAGGTCTCCAAAGGACAATTTAATCATTTCAGCAATTATTTTAAGAGGTTAAATTGTCTTGACAACAACACAATTCAAAGTGATCCTGAAAGTGTCAATGAAGAGATTAAACCTTCAGAGACTGATACAGTATGGGTAAATCAAGATAATAAAATCTTCTTCCCTTGATACGACATAATATTTATATTTTTGTGTCAGGATGATACCTACGTGTAAATATTTTGAGTCTTTCCTGATACTTAAGCACATATCTTCTCTTAATATTTTACAAAGAACTTGTTCAGTGAGACTGGAAGGTACAGTTGGAAATTTAAGTATGCCTTTATTTTATATCCTAAAAAAAAAGAATGGATGCAAAGTTCTGGCTATAAAATACTACTCTAGAGGATGAATGTTATTTCACCTGTTTGACAGAGATTGTTATTTTTTTAAAAAAGATCTGGGATTGCTTTAGAGAAATTGTAATTTTATCAAACTACAGAAGATTCGACCTCATCTTCGGTTACTTATCTTCAAACACAATCACTAGTACTAAGGGAAGATGAAAAGGGCATATGGACAAAAATCTGTGATCAGAATATGAACAGAACCCCAAATCTCTTTTTTAAAAGCACACCCTCCGATTGGAGAGCTCACCGCTGCTGTATAGGACACAGGGTCCTTGGTTCATTTCAGGTTCCTCTATTCACCACAATATATTCTACAGATTCTTCAGATTACTAAGACATAAAGACAAATACATACAATATGTAAACGTAGCTTAAATTACATCATGCTTCAAATCTATGTGAGACCTTAAAATAAATCACCTCACTTACATAAACACACACACACACCCCACATTTAAAACCGTACTTTAAGACACTCTGCTTCAATCTTCTTTTGCTGCAGAACTCTCTTCAATTCCTTCAGTTCCTCGGCTGTGCGTGCTCTCATGGGGAAGTTCTCAACCACACATGGGATGTGGAAGCACTTGGGGGAAGAGTCAGACAAAACAAACCCAGTTTTAGCACAAGTCAGGGGGTGTGGGCATGTCCTCTCTGAATAAAATCAACCCACGTGTTATCATGCCATGACTGAGACCGACGACGAAAACCCCTAAAATACAATGGTGTGTGCTGTTATTATGGATACAAACTCCGTATAAAATACAGAGCTTTGGGAGGATCTGGAGCTGTTCGGTCCTTCCCTTTCCCCCACACACTGGCATGTTTCAGATGGTTACTCCTGGGGTGAGGGATCCGCTGTCCAGTAGATGGCTCAGGGGTTGCTAAACACCCACAGGTGTGGAACAGCCCCAGATGCACCTCTTTTGGGAAACCCTGTGCTGGAGCGACACTCAACCACGTAACCACAGGGCGACTGCACTGTATTAACCCAACGGGGTGGCATATTTGAGAGTGAAAAAGGTGCTGCGGAGAGACACAGGCATAAACTGACTTCTAGTCACACTAAAAAGGCAGTGCGTAAGACCCAGATGTCTCCGTGGAAAGAAAAGGATGCAGAGACAGCTGAAGAGGCACCAGCTGGACAGACAGGGATTCAGATACTGACACCGCTAGGTGGAATTCATGCTTTGCTGTATGTGGGTTTTCCTTAAAATACTTTTCTTTTTCTTTCCTTATTTTATGCCCTGAGACTTTCAATGGGACTTCTCACCGGCTAAGATTCTGTAGTTACCTTAAGGGCCCGACCTTTCACAGCCATGGAGTTCCAGCATTCTTCTTTGATAAGGGCAGTCAAGTATCTCTTGGCCAGGTTGTACATCTCCACATCCTTTCTTATCTTCAAGGGCAGGGATGAAGGGAAAGATACAAACAAAGTGGCCTCTCAGAAAAACCCATCTGGCGGTGGACCCCTAAATGGTCAGAGCTGGGCGTGGGGCAGGAGATTGGAGGAGAGGTCTGGGGCTCTGACTTCTGCTGGGGAGACTGATCATCCACAGAGGCCTCCTGGGGGCCCCTTCAGGCAGGGCCATGAGGACAGACGTCCCTGGGGCTGGATGGTGGATGCGATTCTCAAGACCAGGCTGGCTAACACTTCTGGGAAGAGGAACACCTGCCAAGTCTTCCCGTTTCATCAGGGAGGTTTGACCTCCATATTTTTATGTGAAAGAGGCAGGTATCCAAATGTTGACTTAATTCCTGCCAACACATGGGAAGAGCCCCGTGGTGACCTAACCTGGGAAATTTCCCTATACCGAATCCCCCATTATCAGTGTCCACAATAACAAGGATGGCCCTGTTATATTAGGGGATCAACTGGCTTTTTTCCATTTAGAAACAAAACTGTTACTTCAGTTAGTTGTATCTCCTCCTATCACTGAATGTGTAAATAATTAAGTAGTCTCAGGTTAACATTTCGCTGGATAACCTGGTCCCAAAGTGAAACCCAATAACCCTTAGTCCTTAGGGTTCTTCAGAAACTGCGTTTCACTTTGTTGGCAGGGTTATTAGAGGACCTGCTAAGGACAGTATCTCTCGTATTTCAACCACTTAACAGTTTACTCCGAGAGTCACTCGGACAGGGGTCATATCAACCAGCTGATTTCTGTATTGAGTAAATTTGATAAAATTATCATTTTTATATTTCCTGTTATAAAATTAATTTTTAAAATATGCATTATTGGTCATTCTGTATGTAAATAATTGGCCTGGTAAGTGGTTAAAATGCTCCCACTATTAAAAAAATTTTTAAGAATTTTATCGTCTGATGAAATGACTTTAATGCGCACTTTATCTCTCTTGCCCCTGAGCCGCTAAGCCGAAGGCAGATACAGCTGCTCTGGATATCAGTTTCCGGCAGCTCCTCCAGACTCAGTGCCCAGTGCCACATCCAGACGCCCACGACCAAGCTCTGGCCTCATCTGTACACCGAGAGCCTGGCTGGGGCTGGCTTGGAGCCGTCTCCTCTGGGGTCCCTGGCTGGTAGGTCCACTAGCCCCCCTGGATGGGCGCTCTTCCCCCCACGTGCTCAGAGCCAGCTGGGCCCACAAAGCCTCCTGCCAGGCACCGTTCTCCCGTGGGTCACTGTCCAAAGCTGGGCTCTCCTCAAAAGCCAGAGCTCAGGAAAGACAGACAGCATGAGGAAAACTAACACAGGCAGAGCTTTTCTCTTGCCTGAGCGCTTATGACTTTCGCTGTGACTGCATGGCGTTTCAGGGAAATGTTCCCATACTTTTGCCACCTCCTCTCCACTTTGATCGTGAAGCCTTTCCAGTTCCTCAAGATCCAGGCAAAACTCTTGATGGTCTAACTTTGCAATATCATCCACCTTTTCATTCTCTTCCATCATAGTCAGAACCTGAAGTTTGAAATAAGAAAGGAAGATAACAAGCAAAGAGCCAGACTCTTAAGAAGTGGTTTCCTTAGATTCTTTAGACAGAAATCAATGAAAAATGGATGTCCTGTGGATCTAAAGGTACAACTGGGTAAGAATTAGATTATAGGCTTATTGTGGTTATTGAACTTTTAAGGTTTGAGCTTTAAAAATTTAAACTCATTCATATAACAACAACAAAAAATCAACAAAGATGTATTAGCTCACCTCGAGCTGATTTTAAAATTCAAATGGAAAAATAAATGTGCATTAAAGAGTCAACATTCTTTTGAAAAAGGAGAAGAAAGGGAGAATTATTCTCAAGAGACAAAAACATAAAGCTATGATAATTTAAAAAATTGGTAGTAGCTCAGGAAAAGATTAATACTGAAACTCAGAACAGAGGATCCAGAAGCAATCTGTATACCTGGGGATCTGGGAATCGACCAGGGAAAGGGGGTCTATTCAGTCAGGAAGCTTTGAAAAAAATGGGTTAGATTTATGTCCCATACCATTTGTAAAAATATGGGCAGGGGATGTAGCTCAGTGCTGCCACCGCCTGCCTCTCAAGTGAGTTCAATGCCCAGTATCAAAAACAAACCATTTACAAAAGTAAATTACTGGAGTTACTGAAGGAGTAGCAGAAGTAAACATGTGAGACTTCAGAAGGCTTTTTTGTTTTGTGTTTGAGACAGCCTTGCTACGTTTCCTAGGCTTATCTCAAACCCCTGGGCTCAAGGAATTCTCCCACCTCAGCCTCCTGAGTAGCTGGGACTATAGGTGTGCGTCACCACACCTGACTTTTGAAAGAGCTTTTAAAGTCAGACACAAAATGCAAAAGCTGTACAGAAAGGGATCGGTACACCTGCATAATTTTAGAATTTTACACTCAAAAAAGCACATTAGAGAAAGTCTAGATAAGACAGAAACATTTTTGCAGGTTGAGACACATATTTTTGAAGAAAAGATAAAATAGCAACTTTATGCAGTTCACTCCAACAATAAGAACAACCCCCAGATTTGCCCAAGGGGCACCTCCAGGCTGCCTTCCCTTTCCACCTTTGGGACCAGGCAGGCCACAGAGGAGCAAGGCACGGAGGATGGCATGTTCTCCAGCAGCCCCGCCTCTGAGTGACACTGAGGAGCAAAGCAGCTGCTAACCCGAACCCCCAGGGCCAGGGGGCGCAGTCCTCACCCCAGTGCCATGCTTTTGAGTTTGTTAGCACAGGGTAATCATCATGCATTAAATATAAATTTAAAATAAAGATAAAGAACTTCCACAATCTGGAAGAAAAGACAAGGAACCGGATGGCAAAACTGGCAAAGGATATGCACATAGAATTCACAGGAGAGGAAACACAAAAAGTCTTTAGGGTTATGTGAAGGTGCTGAACCTGCTTAATAATCAGGAAAATAAAAACAAAGGGGAGGAAATTACCAAAGCAAAATTTAAGTACATCTTCTTGAAGTGAAAGGCAGTTTTCCTATTTTGAGGGCCATCCAATGTGTGACACATGAAGGAGGAAAAAACAATCCAGGGTCGTGGTAGGAAACAAGTGACACATTCATGTGGAAAGCTGAAGAGAAGAACTTTTGGAAAAGCTTTGGCAGGGTAAGGAAAACCAGCAGGGTATGACAGTGTCTTACCCATGAGGCCACAGGGAGGAAGCTGGGGATGAGGATCCTGACAACAGTCTCCCGCCCTCTGATCTCCTGCACTTGCCACTTCCCAAGCCGAAGCCAGAAAGCAAGAGTCTACTATTGTTGTCCATAAAGGACAGGCTTCTGGGGCCCAGGGCACCGGGGAAAGGGTGAGGGTGCGACTTCACAGCGCTCCAAGGACACCCATCAAACACAATGAGATGCATAATTGAAGCTTCGGAACATCAGAGAGAAGGAGACAGCCTTTGAGTTTCTAGAGATAAAAATCTGCCTACCTACAAAGAGCTGGGAATCAGAAAGGCATTTGGATTCTCTAAAGCAGACACTTTAAGCCAGTAGACAATGGGCCTTTCAAAATTCTAAGGGGAAATCACTGTATTCCTGGGCAAACCATCAAAGGAATGTGAGAACAGGATGAAGACATGTTAAGAAGTGTACCTCCCCTATATATGCACTTGACGGCAGAGCCAAAGCTTGCAAGCTCTCTGGGCCAGGCTCCATTCCCACCGGATTACCTCTGAATGGCATCCTAGAAGTACAACTCTGTCTAAAGGATGTTCCCAAACACAGGCCACTGTGGCAGTCTTATTAAGGGAGCTACTGGAGGAAGCAGGCCACAAAAACAAAACCATACAGAACCCAGGAGATGGGGCTCAGACTCGGGGTTGGGGAGCAGATGGAAAGGTGCCCAGGAAGATGGACAAGAGAAGGCCCTAGGGAAAAATCATATGCTTGGCATTGACAGCGAGGTGCTTATACTGAAGATGGATGATGGAAAGCTCCAGAAAGGAGGTCACTAAAGAAAGAAAACAAAACAAAATTGCTGACAGATTGACTACCTCAGGAATCTGACTGTATTGAAAAGACTGTTCTATCATTTGGAGATTGTGAGTAGGCAAGGGACATGTAGAAAGGTGTAATCCAAAAATCACTAACTCCAAGAAAAATACAGATGTAAAACTGACAAAAGAGGTTAGGGTCTGGCTGGGGAGATAGGTGTGACCCATTAATTACGAGATCCCAGAACACATACACAGAACAGTTCCCAAAGCCCTGCATGTGTGTGGGCTTCTCACAAGAACTCCAGCAGATTTTCCATAGGATGGCCTGGACCTGATGTCAGCCTGAGGCATGGGATCCCAGCACCGCTTCTCAGGACCCAGACGTAGAAGTTCTCCCAGTTTCTGAGAGATTTGGCAGTATGAAAGAAGAGGTGAGCCATGAAGAGCTTGCTATCATGGTTTTCCCTTCTAAGAGCCCACCTTGCTTTCTCTAGGGTGTTTTTTACCTTGCTTTTTCCTCATTTACTTGGCCCAAGTTCCCTCTGCTGAGCCAGTTTCTCCCTCACTCTTCACTTTTACTTTTTCAAATACACTTTGCCTCTGCTTTTTGCTCATTTTGTTTACTTCTTTGAAGTGAGAAGAACCTGGAATCCAACTGCAGAAGGAGAGGTGAGTGACCCAGGACCTGGTAACATGTATTTGGTGAGCCACTTTTAGAAGGTGCTACCTGATAACAAAACTGTAATTATAATATACCTGTAGCTCCTAGCTGAAGGACATTTACATTTACATAATGCCAGAGTGCATACTGAGTATGTATTTATCTATGTTATGGGCGGGTAATAAAAGAACCTATCGATCAATTTTTGCACACCAGCTACAGTTAGTGTCAGAAACAGCAGTGTTTAGAAAGGCGAAGACAAAGAGCCAAAAGAAAAAAAAAAAAGGGAAACAGTTCCTTCAGGTGGTACAGGAATCAGAACAGTAGGACAAGAGCTGCTTTTAAAACATTATTTTTAATTATGCATTTCAGTATTGAAACAGTTACTTTTGAATTCATAAAGTCAGACTGAAGTCTCGAACTAAAAGGAGGAAGTTAGGAAGTTTTTACTGGAAATATTAAGAAGAAAACAGCTCAGGGCCGGGAATTTGGCTCAATGGTTCCACCGCCTGCCTCACAAGCACAAGGGTCCAAGTTCAATCCCTGGTACCAAAAAAAAAAAAAAAAAAAAAAAAAAAAAAAAAAAACAAAAA